TCGAGGGGTTAGGGTTAGGTTTTGGTGTTACTTTTAACGTTAGAGTTTAGAGCGTGCTTTTTTCGTCACGCTGTGATGACGTCAGCTACGCAGTTTCGTCGAGCGCGCTTTAGTCGAACGCGGTTTTGTGGTGGAACCACTGAGGACTACCTGTAATAATAAGATGGGCTGATAGAACTTCCAGAAAGAAAGCCTAACACAATTGGGATGGGTTAACTTGGTTTCTATAAAATTTCATTTCATGTAGATGCAAAAATCGGAGTTCTCCAGTAAACCTTAAAAATGACCAGGTTAATATTACTACTCTACGGTAGTATTTAAAAATTATAAGCAGCCCTTTTCTGCACCACAGTGGTTAACAGATGCAATTGCAATTAATAGTGGCTTATGTACATTTTTGCTGTGGTACAGAAAACTGCTTCCAAAGTAATTAAGATAACCGTTTAAAATATAAACTATTGCATTAAGATGGAAAACCTAGTTTTAAAACTGTAATACTAAAAAAAAATAATTTATAAATCCAGCAGATAATCATTGGCATGTCTGAATAAGTATTCAAAACCTACGGTAAGCATATTTCTTTCTCACATATGCTTGATAGAAGCTGTTTAGATCCTTTACATGTGTTACAATGGACTCATTGTAGAAAGCAAATAGTATTTATGAGGTTCTGTGTTGAAACAGCTTTTAGGATCAAAAATTAGGATGTCATCACCATTCTTTGATATTTTCTTATGTACAGCACAAAATAATAACTAATATTTAGAGATAATAGGAGAGGTTTCCATTTGTATCTGGCTTATTAAAGGACATAATCCAAATTGTAGCATAAAAGAGCATTTGGAATTTCTTTTCTGTCCAACTTAACCATGGCTCAATATTTGTCTTGACTTCCAGGATTTTTTGGTAGTATATTTGGATTGATGGGCGTATACATTTATGATGGAGAACTTGTATCAAAGAATGGATTTTTTCAAGGTTATAACAAGCTTACTTGGATAGTTGTAGTTTTGCAGGTAATACATCCAATATTACATTTTATCAGTTGGGCTTGTGTTGTGCCAATATTGAAATTACCATTGTGAGTTACACAAATTTGTTGAACTAATACTTTAAAAAAAAAACGTTTTATTTAACAAGGCAAGGGAAAGCATGCTGACATGGCTTTGGGATTTTTTTCAATCCCTTAACCACAATTCCTAGGTCACATGATGAGGTACAGGAACAGAGGTGGGTTCCTACCAGTTCGCACCTATTCGGTAGAACCGGTTCGTCAAATCT